TGCGGGACCAAAGGACCACGGGGACCAGGGGGCCAGCCCTAACTCCAGAGCCCAAGCCGAGCCAACCCTAGGAAAAAAAAAACTGGGACCCGGGGATCTTGTCGTTCCAAAAACTTCTCAAGAACATCCGCGTCTCGTCCAGGTCCTCTGAGCACGGTGACCAGACCCTGCCAAGCTGAGCAATTGATTGAGATGGGTCAGAAAGGGAGGATTATTTTGGCTTTGGGGATATTGCCCCAAAAATGGGGAATCAAATGGAAAAGCAAATGGAAAATGAAAATGACAAGGGAGCTCGGTGCGCATAGCAATTCATAGGGATCATGTAAAGTAACAACTACCAATATCATTTTAAGATGTGCTTGGGGATCCTGAAAAGTCATACAAGGAATCTAGGACAATACCATTCGCAACCATTTAGTTGCAGGGGCGTGGGCCACGGCTGGATGATACTCCTGCCCCATAGCTGTCATAACAAGGATCTTGAACAAGGGTGTAAAATTACTACAATGACAACTTTGAGGAAGGTCATAGGGTGGGGGAAGTATCGAAGGTTCAGCATTCAGGCTTGAGGGTTGAGGAGTCTGGCTTTGTGCCAGGGGCTGGGGTAAAAAAAAAAAAAAACAAAGTTCAAAAATCCCAACCCTGAACCCCTCGAATAAAAACCCTAAACCGTAACACCTACACCCTACACTAATCTGAGTTCAGTGCAATCCTTGAGGACAAAACTGGCCCAGGTCTGAAAGGACCCCTTCCACCAAATCGTATTCTACGTGTTTAGGTCTTGGGGCTGTGGTAGTACTAGACTGGTATTATCCACTCCTGAAGACTCTATACTTGCAGTCTACTAAACCTCTAAGTTCAGGGAGAAGCTGTAGAGGCCCCTTTCCTTGCGAATGCCAAATTAGCTGTCTAAAAAAGACATCAAGGCATTTGCGCGAAAGCTTGAGAAGCTCTGAGCGCCTTGTCCGCTTCACATAAGTGAACATATAGGGTGATTATTGAACCCAAGAATGGAGGTAATCTTTTGGGCATTTATAACAAGAATTATAATGCATTAGGGTCCAGATTGGGGTTTCCCCATTTATGGAAACTGCCTATTGGAGCCATTTTGCCCTTGCTGAAATCAGCCCGACAAGTTACAAAGTGCGTTACCCTACATTTGACCTTCCCAAGCATGCAGAACATGGGCTACTACCGTAAACCCCTAAACTCTTAACCCCTAAACCCTAAAGCCTAAACCCTAGACCCCTAAACCCTAGACCCCTAAACCCTAGACCCCTAGACCCTAAACCCTAGACCCTTGAAACTTAAACCAATCCAAAACCGCACATAAACACAAAACGGTTTAGGGTTTAGGGGAGGCTTAGAATCTTGAACACCGAAGCCCACTACTGAGGCGGTGAACCACGCACCTTAAAAGAACCCCCAATCGGCAAACCCAGTGGCCGTGCACCCCACAAAACTCGAAACTGGCTGCTACCCTGTACTTGGAAGGTCAGGGGGACTTAGTATGTGGGTTAGTCACACGTATAACTCACGTAGTAACCTAGTTACCCCCATCAGTAAACTCCCTCTAAGCATGGTGCTACTGTTAGTATTCATTGCTATCATTGCTATCCCTATCTCTTGTCATCACTGTCAAATTATGGCTCTACAGATGTTCTCGCTGTGATCAGTTTTGATTTTCTTTTCAACCTTCATTGTAGAATGAGAAATATCGTTGTTGTCATTGTCTTTGGATGTGCTTCCATGTTCGTCGACTTGCATTCCATGATTTTTCTTTCATTATTGGAATCGTGTTGGTTTTACCTATGTCACGCTCCTAGTACTGCCAAATTTCCGTTATCAAGGAATGTGCATACGCCCGTTAAAACCTCGATTAGTACTGCTGCTATTAAGTCTACATTCTCTATCAACCCCTTCATACGAATGTTACGCAAAACCCCCCCCCTCTAATATTAGACATTCCCCATAAGAGACATATGTGTGTATTTGTGTGTAGGTGTATATATATATAAATAGTGTGACGCAAGTCTATGGTACATGGACGTATTTGTAGTCGTACTTTTATGACTATATAACATCCCGCTGACGTTCGGCATTATTGGTGCCATAACCCGCAACCCTAATCCCACAAACCCCATTGAAAACCAAGCCCTAAACCCTAAACCCCAGACCCCTAAACCCCTGCAACCCCTAAACCCTAAACCCTACAGCCCTAAAATTCCTTAACCCCTAAACCCCCAAACCCTGGTCCCTTCTTCCCCGTCAAAGGAGCCTGGGCGGGACTTCCAGGCTTCCCGGTGTGGGCCCGGGCGGCTGCAGCAGCGAGGGGCGCGGCTCAGCAGGGCCACCTGAGCCAGGTGTTTCTAAGGGCTTCAGGGTTTGGGATTTAGGGTTTATAGTCCCCCTTAAGTAGATAGAATATGGCTTCGGGTATATTATAATACGGTTCCCCTATACCCAATATTCTATCTACTTAAGGGGGACTATAGGGTTTAGTTTGGGGATTTACGGTTGTCGGGCCTCAGGGGTTTAGGACTTAGGCCAGGGATTTCAAGGTATAGGTTTTTAGGGGCTTTGGGTTTCTGAAGTCTTTGGTGGTGTGGGATCTAGGGTCTTTACGGACTTCAAGCTAAAGAGATTTCAGGGTTTGAGGGTCTAGTTCAAGGCTACAAGCTAAGCATGATGAGACCAAGCTGAATAGACCCCGTGGAACGATGCCTGGGGGATAGTGTGCTTTGGGACTTCTGTTCTGTGGCCGAAGACTTCCAATACATTCTGAGTTGTTGTAAGGACCTTAGATAAGGTTGCCATAATATGGGTATATGAAATAATAGAATTTCCTGGGGTTTCAGGATTTGGGTCTACAAAGCCAAGTTGTGTCATGAAGAAAAAAGATAGAAACTGGCTCCATATCCATGGGATTCACATGGGGAGCTCAGGCGCTCGGGGATTGTTACTTGCAGGTGGCCAAACCCAAATGGGGCCTGCGAAGTAGACGGCACAGGCTTGCGAAGAAGGGATTGGTAGCAAGGTTCAGGGTGTGGCATCTCTGGATTCTAGTGTCCTTCTAGACCTTGCCAGACGAAGGTCAGGTGTCCCACGAGCAATCATGTAAAAGCCTGAACACTTGCAAACATTATTCCCTAAACACCGATACCCGAGCTAACATGGGGCTGAGGGTTCCTTTCTTGGGTGATAAATATAGACCTTTCCCCCCAAGAACCTGGAACACCCCCAAAGGGCCTTATAGAGCCTAATGTCCCTTTGAAAGAGGGGTAAAGGCTAAACCTATACCCCCAAAGAACCTGGAACACCCCCAAAGACCCTCAGAGAGCCTAACGTCCCTTTGAAAGAGGGGTAAAACCCTAAACTCCTAAACCCTAAGACCCTAAACCCCAAACCCGAAACCCTAAACTCTAAGACCCTAACTCCCAAATGTTCGTGTGCGGTAAGGCAAGCCTGTCTGCTTTTGCGTTAGGGCCTACTGGAGCGCTTAGGGATTTAAGTTTTAGAGTTTATTGTTTAGTGCGACGTTGTCACATGCGCAGCGTCCTTGGTCAGCTCTTTGTTCAAAAATGCCTCGGCTTTCAAGTTGGCAGCATATTTGTCGGTGGTAACCTGCTGCACCACGAGTGGAAAGAATTTGTTGGCCACATCCAAGGCCGCAACAAAATGAAGAACATCCGTCTGAACAGCCAATGTGTTCTCTGCTGTAGTCCGGTCAACGGACTGGAGCCAAGTAGGCACAGCGCTCTGCATAAAGAAATGCTTGCCTGATGCTCGATGTTTGAATAACATAGACAAAGAACACCGTGTTTGAGTTTAGGGTTTGGGGTTTAGGGCATTTTGCGCTTGCAAATTGGAATTGCAGCTGGTTCTTGGGATTTATGAGTAGCACAGAACTGACATGATCTTTAAGGAGCTTATAGTTAAGGTAAAAACAATCCCGGTCTTGGATGGCTCGCAGACGTTGCACCACATGTAATTCCTCTCCTACGTGGGCCTACTATTCATTCAGTCATAGACAACCAAATGTTCCTTCAACAAATCCGAGGTACATACTAGATACCTACTCGCTCTCCCCTCCAAGTTTCCCTAAATCCTAAACCATTTGAGCTAGAGTCTAATCTCCTAGTATCCCCCTCAATATCCCTATAATACTCCCAACCCCCTAAATAACCCCCCCTTGCAGGAGTTTAGACCCTAAACTCTCAACCCCGACATAACCCCCCCTTAAGGAGTTTAGACTGTAGCTCACTTTAGGGAAGTAAGGCATTCCCCCAGTTGTTCACCCCAAACCCTGAAACCCAAACCCTAAGCCCTCAATGCCCAAAACCCCAAACTCTGAACCCAAAATTCTGAACCCTAAACCCTAAACCCTAAGATATGGAAATAAGGAATTCTCCCGATTTGTTCTGAATCTTGCGGCGGAGCTTCTAGGCTCAACCATGCCCAGTCGAGGCTGGTAGATACCTGGGGATGTGGGTAATTCCCAAAATTAAGGTCTCATTTTGCTGTTGGGGTTTAGGGTTTAGGGTTTGAGGGCTTAGGGTTCAGGGTTTAGGGTCCAGGGTTCAAGGGTTTAAACAGTTGTGCGCTCAAGGTTGTATGCCGGGGTTCCAGGATCCTTTGCAGGGAAGCTTAGGGCACTGCACTGTCGTGTAGAAGGACCACGTTCGAGGAACTTTTTAAGATAACAACCTTGGCGTAAAACTCTGAATCTATGAATCTGGGTCGGGGTCCATATGTTCTGACGGATGTAATGGGAAACTCAATGTTGACAAACTCTGGTAACCGTGGAAGGACGGCATGACTGCGACGAACAGTCCGACTCCAAGTAAAAGAGAAATCTACCTCTAGAAAACTCCTGCCAAAGTGTATTCACCCTCAGATGCAGTGTCCCCTTTAACACCCTGCTGCCATAAAACTCAACAAGCTCCTTTGGTGCTTAAAGCCTACCTTCAAAAATCTAGGGCAGGGATGATTGAGGCTAGTGGAAACGGCTGGTAAAGTCTGCCAGAAGCCAACTAGCAGTTACGTTCACGAAAACATCTGGAATTAAAAACTTGTGTTCTGAAAAAATGCCAACATAGGCATAGATCCTAGGAAACAAGCGGCCATGATTTGGGCTGGCTTTCTAGGAACACGGGGGCGCAAAGGCAGCTCGAAGCAGGGTTCCTGCATATGTGTAGATATATATATATATATGTGTATATACATAATATGCTATTCTATCATATTATATCACATTATGTTATGTTATACTATGCTATATCATATACGATACGGGAGTTATGAGGGTTATAGGGATAAGGGAATACTGGAAATTACCATTTAAGGTTTAAGGCTTAGGGGTGAGTATTGTCCACCGCATAACTCACAGAGCTTATAACAGGGGTCCCGGATTTCTGGAAACCTGTTATCCGTTTTTACACCCGTCACGCTGCACCCCCAGATAATCTTTATCCCATTTACAACTAGCCAGCCCTCATATCCTGAACTCAAGCCCGACTTTCAACCCGAAACCCTAAAACCATAAACACCAAAGCCCTAAAATCCTGAAACCTGAAGCCTCAAGCCTCAAACACTCAAAACTCCAAAACAACTTGCACCCTGAAACCTCCAAACCGCAAACCCTCAAACGCTGAACCCTGAACGCTGAACCCAAAAAGAATCAGAACCCTCGGTTTCATTGCATGCTACCTTGTTCTGTTTTTCCATTTGCCTCTGGCTCAGTGAAATCCTCAAACCCCAACAACGCTCACCCTACATACTGTAGAAGCCAAGATATTTACCATTATTCTTGTCTCGAGTTCCTTGTATAAATATGATGCAGGGTACCTCACATTGATATTGGTAGTTTTTCAAGACCTTGCATTACCAGAGAGATCCAACAACATTCCTAGGTTTGCAGATATCCCCAAGCATCTCTATGCATCCCTAGATGAGCTGCAGCCCATAGTTCCTATAAATTTAACGGACATAGGCTCCTAGTTGGGCAGCATACTGGGGATTCTACTTAAGCCCTACGTCCAAGCCTAATGCTGACAGTAGCTGATATATCCCTGCACGCGCCTTTGCATCCCAAACCCATGAGCCTCCAACTGGGCCTTAGCCCTATACACCTCTGCACCTCCATGTAAACCCCGTTCTCTCATGATATGCCCATATATGATTAAATATGTATATCCATATATCTATATCTCGGAGGGTTGAAGAATTAAGGGTCCGCTTTTCGGGCTTCCATAACGAGGATTATGATATTTTGGATCTACGTTGGGGGCCCCCTGTTCAACAAAACTGCCATATGTACCTTAATATCTATCCTTGCAGCCTCAACCCCGAACCCTTGACCGCTAAACCCTCCTAACCCAACCCCTCACCCTAATCCCCTAAACCCAAACTCAAAGCCCTAACCCCTAAACGCTTCGCCCGGACGTTTTGCCGCGGTTCCACAAAGAGTAAACATGTGGCAAGTCCTGAAAAACCCCATATTTTACAGTGTTTTTTGGGTTTCTGTACCTGAGAAATGGAGGCT